AAAACTCCGTGGCCTTATCTACGGCAGAGGCCGAATATATTTTCGCCGCAAGTTGTTATGCTCAAGTACTATGGATGAAACAAACTCTTAACGATTTTCACTTATCCTATGATCATATTCATATCATGTGTGACAACACTAGTGCCATAAATTTATGCAAAAATCTCGTCTTGCATTCTCGAACTAAGCACATTGAGATATGACATCATTTTTTTGAGATCGTGTTCAAAACGGCGATATCTCACTCGAATTTGTTGACACCGAAAATCAATTGGCCGATATTTTCACCAAACCTCTTGCACTCGATCGCTTCTCAACCATTAGACGGAGTTTGGGTCTTGTTGAGTTTGACGACGTTCGTAATTAAAACTCGCACCATAAAATACATCAAAATCTCTCCCTAAAACTCACTTTCATCGACTATTTACATTCCAAAAATCTGACTTTTCAGCACTTCCTCAATTTTTCACTTCAAAGTTCGAACCCTAGCTTTCTTCTCAAAAATTTTCTGTTGAATCTTGCTCGAAATTCATCTTACAAGTGAGAAATTTACAAATTTACAAATACATTACAACCTCTCACTCTCAATTTCATATTTCTCATTCTTCACACGAGCCCTATTTCGAAATCCTCATCTTCAAGTCGATATTTTCGAAAATTCCAACGATTTGTGCAACATGTTGACTTTACGCGGTAAAGGGAAGAGGCTCAAGAAAAACGTCCGACGTCCACCTCCATCTCCATCTCCATCTCCATCCTCTGATGAAGCAATGGACTCTGAAACTGAGACTACACCGACGAAAATGCATATCGGACTTAATTCGCACCTTTTACACAAATATGACCATTTATCCTCGTTCGGGAGATATTTCTTCTTTTATCAAAAATGTTCGTGTCACGATTTCCAAACCACTCATTCGTACTATCCTTGAGCTCGACCCCTGCGATATCCAAAAGTTTGTACATAAAACCCACCCTACGATGAAGGGGTATAACCCGACCAAAGCATGCCGTCCTCTAACGGGCAAGAATTTTGAAAACATCACCAAAATTACAACAAACCAACTTACTCGCCCGAGCAAGGTTTTACAAAATATCATTGCAAATGTCATTTTACCTCGAAAGGGTCATCGGGATGAAGTAAACTGTTTTGATCTCTTTCTCCTTGACTCTTTCCTCATCGGTCGGCGAGTTGATTTCCCGACTATTGCCTTAGGCCTTATGAAACTCATCAATTCCTCACGTATCTCCAGGGCACTTTTCTATGGCATGCTACTCACTAAGATTTTTCAACACTTTGAGGTTTCTCTTCACGATGAAGCCTTCATTAAACCACGCCCCACCGATGCCTTGGTTCCAACACACTTAAACTAATGAAAATTGTTAAGAAAGACGGACAATGGGTGTCTGAAACTAAGGGATTTGATTCGGCTTCGGGGCCTTCTACCTTACCATTTGAAGATGAGGACCTTGATGACGACGACGAAGAAGCTCCTCCTGCTGGCATCTCATGATCGAGAGCTTCCCGACCCGCTGGACAAGGACGTGACGAGGAACAGTTTGCACTTTTGAGCAGACGGATCTACTCTCTTACTACGACAATCGACGGGATGAGTGGTGAACTCTGTCACATTCAAGCCCAGCAGGACATGATTATCGCTCAGCAGGCTGCCATGTAGGATCAGATGACCGCTTTCTTTGTCGACACGCTTGCCCGGTTTCCACATCATCCTCATGCGGCTCCATAGTCATTTCCTTTTTGTATTACAAATGTTTTAAAACTATGGTTGAACTTTTAATTATGTATTAAAATTTGTCATAATTATGAAATGCTTATCCGTTATGTTTATTATTATTACTTATTCTTACATGATTGATAACTTTTTGCTTATGCCAAAAGGGGGAAGAGATAGAGATTTGCATGATTATATTTATGCCCTGTTTGGGAGTGATTAAATTTTTCTACAGTAAATCAATTCTCATTTTCAACCACACATTCTTCAATAAAATAATATTTTCCATCACATCAATAATTTTTTTCTTCTTTTTCAACCACACATTTCCCATCATATCACTATTCAAAATCAATTCTTTCCCCAAAAATCTCTCCCAAACAAGCTCTTAAACAGGGGGAATACATGCTAATTAGATAGGGAGAATGTGTATATTAACTATTAATTTGTTCCGAATATACATTGCAAATCAATGTGTTTGTCATAATCAAAAAGGAGGAAATTGTTGACTTATGGTTGACTTCTCGTTTTGATTATCACAAACAAATTATGTTTATTGCTAACAAATTGATTTAAGTGTCCATAGTGATTATTGCACATAAGTATATTCGATGGCATAAAGGTCAAGATCAAGATATTTGCACACAATGGCCAACGTGGAAACATGATCAAACAATCGAGACCATGAAGAATGATTTTACAAATCCCGCAAAAAGGTGCCTCAAAGAAAATCGAGACACAAGTCGAAGTACCGTCAAGTGATGTGCATCAAATGTTCAAACTAAGTACTTAGACGTTTCACGATTATATGTAAAGTAAAACGCATTAATATTTGGTAATGCATCCTGACAAGCTCAAAGTTTTGATTATACAAAATTAATGACAAAAATTATTTACTTGAAAATTATGTCTTTCAAAAGTAAAAAAATGTAACACA